ATGATTTAGAATCTCACATGTCATCATTGTCTCTTGCACTCCTTAGATACAAAGGATCAGCAGCAACTTGACCACAAAGTCATCAATTTCCGGCGTCAGGTATATGCCCCTACTACCAAGTCCACCTATATGAGTCAAATGCGCTCACACCTCTCCTTTTGTGTATACTACGATTACCAGCCTATCCCAGCATCAGTATCAACCCTTAACCGCTACGCAGTCTTCCTAGCAAGATCACTTTCAGCATCCTCCATCCCAGCCTATTTGAATGCAGTTCGCATCCTACATCTTGAACATGGACTTGCAGACCCAACCAAAAACAATTTTCAGCTGGCAACTATACTTCGGGGAATTAAATGTATAAAAGGTTTATCAGTATCCCAAAAGAAACCAATTACGCCTCAGATCCTGTTAGCCTTCAAGAATCACTTAAACTTAGGTGATCCTTTGCACGCAACATTTTGGGCAGTCTGTCTGGTAGCTTTCTTCGGCCTCCTACGTAAAGCTAACTTGCTATGCAGAGGATTAACACATTTCAACCCAGCAAAGCATCTGCGTCGAGGAGACATCCTCTTCTTTACAGACTGGGCCATCATTATCAACAGATGGTCAAAAACAATCCAATTTAGCCAGCGCATTTTGACTATTCCTTTACCACTCGTTGCCCAGCACCCACTCTGCCCTTATACAGCTCTCAAGCGTGCTTTCAGCTTAGTACCAGCCTCCTTATCAGGCCCAGCCTTTGTCATCCCAGCTTCAACCAAGGGAGGCCTGCTCCCTCTGACGTATGGAAAGTTTAACTCCCTACTTAAATTATTGGCAATTACGATGAACTTGGATCCATCTAAATTTAGCGGACATAGTTTTCGATCAGGCGGGGCCACTCTGGCCTTTCAAGCTCAAATCCCAGCAGAACTTATCAAACGCTTAGGAGACTGGCAGTCAGATGCTTATAGATCTTATATTCACATCCCAGTTAAAGACAGAATGCAAGCAGTTAGTCAGCTGGCTTTGTTTGTTTAGATTTTCTTCCTTTCTCTGTTTTTCGTCTGGGGTTAGGTCGTTCCTCCCTTGGGAAAAATTTCTATTAAATGGAAGGGATCACTTCCAAGCCCTTCCCCGTTTACCCCAGACTTTATTGTTGTATTTTGTTTCTTCGCCTTTCGTTTAGAGGGTTAATATTTCTTTTAGAAAATTCTGTGATGAGAAAATAAGGAAACAACTCATTTACTTTGATAGTCAAAATGTAAATTCTCTTTGTTTGCACCATCATTATGCCACCACTTATGTTAGTTCTATGTTTCTATCAAGTTAGAGAAATATAATTGTTAACCAATCAGTGGGCTTATTATCTTTGGGCTATTTTCTAAATGTTAATACAAGATGGAAGTCTGAGATCAGGGCTGAAAAATTCCCATGATAGTGATGGCATGCATTTGTAGCTCTAGAGATCTATGTTGTGTTCACGATTGCTTTTTACTTGTGTACAAAATATCAAAACCAAGTTAGAGTAATATAAAGATGCTACATTTTTCTCAGTAGTGGTGGGTGATCTGTATAAATTTTTGTAGTTCAAATCTCAGATGGCTTTCTTGTGTAAAATGGAAGTGAATCCAAAGCAAGAGTAGTCTGTTCTCTTTGTAATAGTAACTTTTACCAATTCCTTGCTAATAACGTATTGATTAACACTTGGTCAAGAAAATTAGATTCTTTTCATCCTTTTCCTAGTGGTTTAAAAACAAATGGGATTGTACAGTAGATCAGATAGAATAAACCTGGCAAAATTTTGAGGACAGGGAATTCTTCCCGATGAAGCTATAAGGAAAAGAATATCTCAGTTGTAAATCAATAGAAGAAAACTGTTGGGGTCACAGTGGCTTCATGGTTAGTGCGCTTGACACTGGATTGAGCTGTCTGGGTTTGAGCCCTGGCTAGGGACACTGTGTCATGTTTTTGAGTAAGAAAGACACTTTACTCTTACAGTGCTTCAATGGATAGCCGCAAATTTAAATGGTAGGGGTGACCCTGNAGCTTCGCTCCCCCTCTTCCCCTCCCTAATTATTTGTTGTTGTTATATTCCTTGTACATTTACCTTTTCCAGTTTGGAAAATTTCTATTAAATGGAAGGGATCACTTCCGAGCCCTTTCCCGTTTACCCCAGACTTTATTGTTGTTATTTTGTTTCTTCGCCTTTCATTTAGAGAGTTAATAGCAGAAACATACTCATACGGAAGCGTTACGGAGCATTACGAATGATGGCCGCAAGTAGGACATTGGAGACTTGTTTTCTCACGCTCTTCAAAGTGACGTGACTTGGTGAGTAGGCAAGGTATTTTTTATTTGCCTCATATAACCAGGCCAAAATATTGTTCTCGAAGAATCTTGCAGGATCTTGAGCAGTTTCCGAAAGGTTTTGATGGAAATACGATTGTTACGAACTTTGAAACAGCTATCAAGCGAATAAAATGTTCCTTTGCAAATTGATGTTTATTTCATGTTTTCACACTACCCGGAACTTAATGTAATGTTTGTTTTATTATAAATTTTTGTTTTAGTTACAGAGAGCATTGATTCTAAAACGCTCTGATGGCAAAAAGCAATCTGAACCAGGTCGATAAGATCGTTCACATAATTTCTTCATAAGGAAATTCTGGATTCTTTCAGGATAAATACCGACAGATCAGGAATGTTTGCTTCACTTATATAAAGAAGAAAAAGTTCCGTGTCGTATTTTCATCTCTAAAGGATGAAAAGCTTTTATGAAACTAGAGTTATCGACGTCGCCGTCCTATACGAAAATTACACAAAATTTAAACATTTTGTCATTTGGCGCCGCGACGGGACACGCGAAAGTTCCCCTTGTCCACTGCCGTTCCCGTCTTGGCCTTCCCGTCCTTGCATCGAATAAAGGTCCCTAATGTTGCTCACAATGATGCATAGGACATTATATTAATGTATATCACTCAAATTTCAAAACAATACTCAGCAATAAGACTAAAACTTGCACCATTGTGGTCATTCACTATCCAGTAGCCACATGTCCTCTCAAGGGGCTTTTATAGAAAGTGATTAATCTCGATAGACAATTGCGGTTGTGGTGCCACACACTGTTCACACGAAAAAGACATTATTCGGAGTTCTGTATTAGAGCTCATTGTTTACAGAAGCCCTTCCGCTCCTCCCAAGCCTTATAACTCAAGAGATACAACGACTGTTAGGACATACTTTTTTTGCTTCTGAAAAATGTGTCACCGGAAAGGATGAGAATTTCCACTCGCCCGCCCGCCATTTTGACCTTCCCTGGATCCACCATGCACTGCATAAAATAATATAAACATCAACACCTTCACTTGGCATACGTGGGGCATTTGTAAAAACATGTAAAAAATAATTAAATCTTATTTATAGTGATCATGCACTTAGCTATACAAGCACTAAGCTTAGCTAGTTTACAGGCATGCCATGCACTTAAACAAAGGAAACAAATATTTCAAATAAACGTAACATAGTTAAAAATCCCAACTGGCAGGAGGCAGAAAAGTTCGCTATTTACAAAGTTTGACCGAGGATTTGAACTCAAGACTACCGAGAAACAAATCCCGCTAGTGGCGGGGTGGAGGTCTTGAATCCGGGACCTCCGGATTACAACACCAGCGCCCTAAACCACTCGGCCACGCGAGGGGCATTTAACTCGAATGTAACCAGGGGCGCAGGAACTTGACAATGTCGCTCAAAATCTGCAGGGTGGGGAATTTGGTACTCTATGGGAGGGGTGGGCTGGGTGGGGTCGGGTGAATTTGAGCCGAATTTTCTGCGTTTTGTTACGTTGATCAAAATCACGGCTGAGATCACGAAGATCAAGATTCAAGAGGAATCTAAGGGAAAATCATGTCCGTCAGTGACATTGGCGCTTTTGAAAAAGGGCCTGCGAAAGAACTGTGCTTCTTTTGAAGTGTTAAAGTAAATTAAAATAGCATTTCCAAATCATGTAAATTTCTGTTCTATGGGGGATTTTTTTTTTCAGTATGCTACTCGAGAAGGGGTATTTCATCTCCTAATGTGGCCCTAAGGTGAGGCATTTGAGCATCATTTTTAGCCCTGGGGATGGGAATTTGCCCAACCGACAATTCTAAATGTAGAATGCATGCACATGTTTCTCAGATGCGAAACTTGTCCCGCGTACCTTTCGCATTATTTTTTAGATTTTTTTGCATTCAGTATTTCTTAGTGCACGCTTCATTCCACACTGACATTTTGAATTTTGAAATAAATTCAATTTTTTCCCCAGAACCCTCAGCGAAACATTTTGAACTAAAATAAGTCCAGCAGCATAAAGTTTTGAATATCACGGAAATTCCCGAGAAAAGAAGGTTTTGGACAATAGAGCTAGCCTGGATCGTCTTAATTCAATTTAAGTGAAACGAACAGCTGAAGCTTCCAAAATCGTATCGTGGGAAATAAAAGAAGCTCACAAACTTCGGAAAAGCTTCTACAGGGAGGCTGAGGCATGTTCCCCCCCTCAGGTAAGGAACAACTATTTGCCTTACAAAACATATTTAAAGAAAGCAGTTTATGTAGCCATGGTATTCGGTTGTCCCATGGGAACACAGACTCACCCGGCTACATTAATTGGCATATCTATATCGTCGGGAAAAAAGATTCATCTTCTGTGCTATGTAAAATGCCGAATGAAGGTAGAAAATCTACAATTTGACCTGTAGTGGTGATCAGATCCCACATTTGACAGAATAGCTTTTAACTGTAGGTATGTCATGCTCGCACACTCCGGTGTTTGGCAGGAGGTATTTTAGAAAATTCGGCCGAACTCCCTAAAACTTTGACAGAATAGAATTGTTGAAACTTTAGAATATCTAAAAGAAAGTGAAACTTTTGCGTTTAAAACATTCAGTTTGTTGGAATAAAAATCTGCGTTTTCGGGCAGAATTTCAGAGTCTCCCAAGGCCTGTTTGGAGGTCACCTGGAAAACTTTCTCGCAAAAAAAGAAAACTGAAAATCGAATTGATCCAGATAAACAAGATTTTTGTGCAATGCTTATAATGCTTAACTCTCCCTGAAAAAGTGAGGCCAATCGGTGAAGGTTCGAAATTTGCCTTAGAAAGCTGAACTAGTGTTACAAACAGAAGCACAGCAATTAGATAACAAGCAATGATCACAGCAAATTCTTTCATTTCAAGCCTGCTTTATTTCTTCCCGACACCAACAAACGAAAGATTCACCTGATTAACAATGACACATGAAATCCAACTTCCATAAGAGAAAATATGGACATTCTGTAAGTACGTTTCCCCATTAAATAGTTTTTTCCCAGACGTAACTGTGATTGCCCAGCCCTCATTCACAAATATCTAATAAGTAATCCTCATTGTCAGTTTTCAGCTTGATCTGCTACCTGAAGATCTGCAAGAATAATCATTTCAGTTGTTAAGTGTAACAAATCGGTAGAAGGAGATAACAATTTAATGCAATCTCCTGAAATTGGTTGAGCTCTGACTCCGCTGTTGCCACTATGATTGATATTAGAATAACTTATTGCATCTTCATTGAGCATGGCGCGTTAACTTTTTTTTGTTGATATTATGATTGTCCAGTGCGCTAGACTTAGCAAATTTCATCATGTATATATTTATACCATGCCATAGAAACTACAGCCAATCACTGTCCAAGAAAGCCGTAGTATATTCGACGGTATTCCACCCAACCTTCCCGTCGTGCGCTGCGCGTATGTCGCATTGTTTGTTTTGGTCACCGCATTTTCTATGGCATGGTATAACAACAACAACAACAACAACAAC